TGGTCAGACCAATAGCAAAGGACAGTCAATACAAAGGGTCACTGAGTTACCATTTCTAAAACACTGAAGTCATTCATTATTATTATTATTCATTTTTGGTTTTGTGAAACAGAGTTTTGCTATGCTGATCCTAAACTCACCATGTATCCTAGGCTGCACTTGAACAGTGTGCCCTCCTCGGCCTCCTAAATGCTGAGATCACAGGTGTGCACCACCATACCCAGCTACTAAAACCATTTTCTTTCTTTCTTTCTTTCTTTTTTTTTTTTTTTTTTTTTTTTTTTGTCTTTTTCATTTGTATCGGTACCGGGGATAGAAATCACAACCACCTGCTTGCAAGGCAGGTGCTTATGCCACTGAGCTAAATCCCCAGGCCCTACTAAAACCATTTTCTAAAAATTAGTCATAAAACACATGAGTGGAGTTTAGCATGTGCAAATCCCTGACTTCAAATCACTAGCACCAAAAATTAAATAGATATTATACAGCCAAGTGCAGTGGGGCACACCTGTAACCCAGCACTCAGGAGGCTGTGGCAAGAGGATCACTTCAAGTTCAAGGCCAAGCCTGGGCTACACAGTGAGTTCAAAGCTAGCCTGAACTACACAGGAATACGTTGCCTAACTAAATAAATGAAACAATCAAAATAAAAACATCCTTACGTATTCAAACAACAGAAAAATACAAGTGATCTGCAGTTTAAGTTTTCTGTATCCCAACCTGTTCAATTAAGTCTAAAAACAAGTATTCCTGAGAAATTAGATTGAGGACAGCCTTCTTGGCGTAGCCACAGTGACTCTCATGTCAAGCCATGGCCTGGTTAAGCTCTATAGGAAGCAGGGTCACAAAACTCTGGAGAAAGCTTTAAACCCAAAACCACCAACGTTTCCAGAGTATCTAGCTTTTTTTTTCTGTATCAGGCATTGAACTCACAACCTCGCACCTGCCAGGCAAGTACTTGTGCTGCTATGCTATATCCATGGCCTCCACAGTATCTGTGCCGGCCCAAGGGCACACATTTCTAAAATACCAGCTCCTGGGTGCTGAGCCTCACCACTGACCCAGCCCAGGGTGCGGTCCAGCCGCACCACCTGCAGGGCCTCCCCTCCCCATAGAGACCAACCTAGGGCAGCGCTACTCTTGGAGGGCTGCCCAGTGTGCCTGGGGCCTCCAGCAGCACGCTACACTCTGCCCTCCTGCTGATGCCCAGTGAACGCATCACCTGGAGGGCAGGGGGGCAGCAGGCCCAGTGGTGATGCCACAAATCCCACTAGAGCACATGAGGTATCAATAAGCTCCCAGGGACCCCTCAGCAGACTTCCCTAGTGCCATCGAAGCAGCCTGGATCCAACAAACTGATGCCCCCAGCAAGGTGACCCTTTGCTGGCCAAGTGTCCATCTCCCCACTTCACCACATCCTGGCAAGATGACAGGCAAGCCCAGGGACAACCCAATGCCAGCTCCACACACAGAAAGCCAACATGAGCCTGCAACGTGCCTCTGCATGTGCACCTCCTAAGCACACTGAAAAAGTCCTTCTTACAAGGTGGCATCCAGGCAGCAGCAGAAGTGTAGATGCTGACTTACTACACTGCACTGTTACTACTTAATGTGGTACAAACTGCTCCAAAAACCCAACATAAAAGGAAACAAGAGCCACAAAAAATGTAAAACAGACAGGAATATTATCCAAAATGTTAACTGCTTTGGTTAAAAAGCTTTATTTTAGAATTGCTCTTTTCTTCATTACAAAAAAAAAAAAAACCTTTCCCCTCAGCAAAGCAACAGTTGCCTTTTTTTATTTTAAAGAGGGTAAAATTAAACATAAAATAGAACAAAACAGGTCATAAGAAAACAATGTAAGAGACAGATTTCAAAGCAAGACAACGGAGATCTTCACTGTCTATCACCTTGTCTCTTGTTTTCTTCCAAATAGTTGTCCATATCTTCACACACAGTGAATTCATACAAAACATCATAGTATAAAACTGATCTGAACAGGATCATGAAGGCATTTTAGGTCTTCAAGACCAGACAATAGAGAAGTCAACAATGGCTGCTATAATGTCTCTCATTCTCTTTAAAATAGCGGTCCATACTTTCAAGTATGGTAAAATTAAACAAAAGAAAATAGACTAAAATCACTCTGAACAAAGAATAATAATATTGCTGGATTTCACATCATGACGATACAGAATCAGCACTGGGTACTTTAGTGTCTCTTTTTCTTCAAAGCAGCCGTTCATTTCCTCATGCATTATATAATCAATTTTCATAAACTGTTTACAAGTTCTACACATGCATCAGTCTCTTCATGTATACCTATCCTTTCTGTATTAGAGGGAAAAACAAAGCAAGACAAAACAAAACAAATTCCTAGAAAAACACAAAATGAAAATGACATATAAAACCACAATGCAAGGTGATCTACAATGGTTACTATGCTGTTTCCTGTTATCTTGAATAGAATTGTCTATATCACCAGGCATAGTGTAATTGAACACAGCAGTACATCACAATATTAATAAAACACTGGAGACATTATAGGACTTCAAAAGCAGGTAATAGTCAAACCAGAATGCATATCCTAGTGAATCTTGTTGTCTTCAGAGCAGTTGCCTATACTCTCAGAATGGATACTATCAAACATAACAGATTCTAATAAAATCAGTCAAGACAAGACAGTGATCTAACCAATCAGATTCAAATAAGATCAGTCATATATAAGACAGTGTAAGTTATACAGTGCTTCAAATTAACTTAACAGGGAATTTAAAATGGTTATCATTGTATATTCTGCTATTTTTGGAATAGCTGTCTGTGCCCTCAAATCTAGTACAAGTAGAAAAACTGGAACAGAATATGATCAAACTAAACAGAACTATGAGAATAATGTAGAGTTTGAATCCTGATACACTATTTTTTTTTTTTTTTGGTCTTTTTCTTTTTTATCAGTACCAGGGATCGAACTCATGACCACAAACTTGCAAGGCAGGTGCTTATGCCAATGAGCTAAATCCCCAGCCCCTGCCTTCCTTTTTTAGACAATTCCTCCCCTTTCACTTTCACAGGGCACACTGTACATTTTGGGTCCCACTGACTCCTTTAGATTAGGGGGGCAACCCACTATTTACCTAAGTGGTTCTGAACCTTTTTACCTGAGATTGATCTTAAGTTATATTCCTTTACCTACAAAATCCTCAAGGTTTTCCTTCCTTATCGCTGAATAGCAACAGTTCTCCACTGCACAACTGTCATGACTTTCCAACCTATCTGCAGCTGCTGGACAAGCTGCCCCTATTTCTGGTTCCATATCACATAGAGCATTGTTTTCTCATATTTGACTTTCAGTCCATAAACCCTCTTTCAGGTTAACTATATTTCCTATACAGAGCATCTTGATGGACCCTATCTCCTGATCTACTCTGTCTTTCTTTTTGTTACTGTATCAAGGCCATCTATGTTAGAGATTATAGCCAACCTTCTCTGCCTCATTTCTGCTATGCTATTTTTGTCATTGGTTGTCTACTTTTCTCCTTCACTCCACTGTCTGCCCCATTCATTAAGGCCTCTCTGCCACTGTTCCTGAAATCCTGGTGTGTTTTTTTCTCTCTCTCTCTAGAATGTCCTTCAGTATTTTTTGTAGGGTTGGACTGGTAGTCACAAACTCACCCAGTTCCTCTTTGTCATGGAAGCATCTTGTTTCTCCATTAATTTTAAGAGACAGTTTTGCAGGTTACATCAATCTGAGTTGAAGGTTATTTTCTTTTAGGGCTTAGAATACTTCGCTCCAAGCTCTTCTTGATTTGATGGTTTGTGTCGAGAACTCTGTAGTGATTTTGATGGGTTTTCTTTTATAGGGGATCTGTTTCTTTTCTCTGACAGCTTTTAATAGTCTGTTTTTGTGATGAATTTCTGGGTTCTTGATTATTATATGTCTGGGTGTAGCTCTGTTTTGGTTATAGCTGGCTAGAGTTCTGTATGCCTCATACATCTGAGTATTATTCCCTTTTCCTGTGCTTGGGAAGCTTTCTTTATTTCTGTGAATAGCCTTTGTATTCATTTGTGTTTACCCCTGCTTCTTCACTCATTTTTTTTTTCACTCACATTTTTTATTCCTAAGTTATAGATTCTCTTTTCATCTGCTAGCCTTTGTATTGTTACTTCCTGTTTCCCTATTTTTAAGAGCTCTTTCCTTTCATGATCACATACTGCAAACCTATCTTCAAGTTTTGATAGTCTATTTTTCAATGGAGTTTTTAATTTCCTGGTAATCTCTTTGAATCTGTTTCATGTATTCCAGATTATTTTTATATTCATCAAAGGTTTCCCTCCTTTTTCTGTGTTCCTCCATTCTTCCACTTGTGTCTTCTTGAGGTGCTTAGCACTTCTCTTATTAATCTTCTTATATCTTGCTTTACTTTTACTAGTATTTCTGTTTTGAATTCTTGTTAGCTGATGCCGTGTCCAATATTGCATGTTTGCTGCCCTCGATTTCTTCTATATTTACTTCTCTGGACCCATATTCCCAGAATTGGCGGCTGGCGGCTTTTTCTTGTTTCTTTCTCTTGTCATGTTTCTGATTTCTTCCAGACAGGTGCATGGTGGAGGTCCCAAGCCCTTTCTGTATTAGTTACAGTTCTTCTGAAGCATGTTGGCTAGGGGATTGCTGCCCTCTCCAGTTGGTACTGAGGTGCAAGAAGGGTGGGGTGTAGACTGTTCCCTCCCCTCTAAGCCAGTCAACCAGCGGGGGCCTTCACCATGTGTGCTGCGAGGACGGAACCGCTTTGGGACAATTTTGGGGGCAATTTTATCCCTGGCTATTGGGGTCCCAACCAGGGGTGTGACCCAGCCCAAGGATATCCCACCAATCTGCTCTGGGCCATGAGTGGCCAACTGAAGCCACTGAGGTTCCAGGTTCAGGCCCTTCCTACCCAATTCCAATATGTCATCCAGCCAGTCACCCCCTCCCACAAGAGAACCAAATTCTGAGCACTCACCTCAGATTAGTGCCAGCTCTGTTTTCCATTGTGACTTGTCCTCCCTCTGAGGGCTTCAGCGCGACCACAGTCATCTGACTCCAAGGTGTCTAGTACAGCACGGGACCAGCTCCAATGAGAGCGCATCTGGCTTCAACCTTCCATCCACATTTTTTTTTCTTTTTTTTTTTTTTCCTTAGTTTCTTCCTGGGTCATAAGAATCCCTCTCATTTCATCTAGTCTTCTCCATGGTGTTAAATTCTAGCATCTGAACTGTTTCTCTCAGAGAGGCTCTTTACCTTGCTACTTATCAATCTGCCAATTTCTCAGGACACCCCCCCCCAATAGTTGCCTTTTCACAAGGGGGAAATCTGCTGCTACTACAACAGCTTTGTGTCCTGGAACATTCCACCAAGTATGCATGCTGCTGGGCTGGGCTTCCACAACAGGAGTTCTAGAGACACTGACAGTGGCAGGCGCAGTGAACAGGGGAGCTGTGTCATGCCAGCACCTCTCCCTCCAGGGCCAGTACTTGAGCAAGCCTATTTAACAGCAAGCAGCATGCTATGGCAGAGGTCAACGGAAGACCCACCACAGTTCTGGGTCCAGCAATGGCCAAGTGCACCCCTCAGGGTGTACAAAAAAGTATGTGGCCTGGATCCTGTCCTGGGGACCAGCGGGGGGAAAAAGTCAAGTGAGAGCAGGGTCAGAGCACAGGATGCTGAGGGACAAAAAGTGCTGGAATGACAAGGACATTCTACCTTATGAGCCTCCTAGCAGCAGGCACTGTGGCCAGGCTGTGGTCCTGAGGTTTACTGCACATTGACCTCTCCTGGGCCCCAGCAGTGGTATACACAGAGCCAGAACCAGGGGATACTTAAGGCCTACTGAATGAAGCCCAGCTTCACTCAGGCTCTCACTGTCTCCCATGAATAAGCTATAATCTGAGTTGCAAAGCCATATGGCTTACTACATTTCAACTTTTAAAACAGTTCATAAAAAAACAACACAGAGAATGTAATAAGCGGGCTGGGGATTTAGCTCAGTGGCATAAGCGCCTGCCTGGCAAGTGCGAGGTCGTCAGGTGAGTTCAATCCCCGGTACCACAAAAGACAAAAAAAAAAAAGAATGTAATAAGCAAGTAGCCCCCAATCAGACCACATGCAGGCACACTGCATTTCACCTGTTCCCCACTTTGGCCCTTCCCTGCAGCCAGCCTCAGTAAAGCTAAGAAGGGGGTGACCCTTGGCTATGCGCTAGAGCATCACGGCCCAAGCTGAGAACTGCGGCAGACAAAACAGACATAGTCCTCGATGTCCAATGGGGACACTTATGCTCATCACACACAGAAGTAGGACCCAGAGAAGCCAAGTGGCAGCCATCTGTCCAGAATCTGTCCTTGTCAGAAGTCAGGAAGTATACAAATAACCACCACAAGTGACTGCGTAGATTTCCCAGAATAGGTTAAAATTATTTAAATCTAAAATATCCTGCTGAGTGTGGTGGCATACTTCGGAGGCTGAGACATGAGGATTGTCATGAGTTCAAAGCCAGTCTGAAATACAGAGCAAGACCCTGTCTCAAAAAAAAAAAAAATGCTAACATATTCATTAAACAAACATTAAAATGAATAAGCCATGTCTTATCAGAAAGACTAAAAAAAGGCAAAATGAGAAAGATTTAGCCCTGCAAAGAGTAACTATTATAATAAAGTAACAATTCCACGTTCCAACCTCTACAAACCAGCCATGAAAATTTATCTCTTTGCAAAAGCTCCCATAGCTCCTAAAGAAAACCAAATGGCAGTCATGAAAGACAATGAATTTGTACAAAGAGCACTTTGCAAGCACCCATCAGAGAAGCCAGCACCCTGACTCTCCAACAATCTTGGGTCCTTTCAGCCAACTTTATGGTTCTTGCTAGGAAAGCACCCTGCCGAGAAAACATTAACTAAGACTGCTCTGCCCAGCTCTGCTTGGTGGGTCTTTCCAGCTGGAAACTCTGTCCTCTGACCACACCCGCTGCCCGTCTTCAGCCTGGTGGTCAGTAGGGTTCCCACTCCAAACCTGAATCTCACCTCTGCACTCCTCATTACGCCCTGCCCTTCATATCCCACTCTCTGCCCTCTGGCCCCATTAGGGGACAATCAAAGCCTCTGGAGAGACTAGGTCTCCTACCCATCCCACCCCCAGGAGGTGGGGACAACCTGGTGGATGAGGCTTGTTGGCAAGTGTGCTCAGTCAGGGGTACACCCGTCTCAGTGGCACATGGAACAATGGTGTGCACAACCGCATAGAACCCAGTCACTGCCATCCCCTTCCAACCACCCAGAAAGCTCCAGATGCGACGGGCAGGCTTCGACCTCTCTCCAGGATTCACTCAGACCTTCCCACCTGACACTACCGATCTGTACACATCTGAACGTGCTCTATGAGAAAGAAGTGCTGCTCTCATCACTAGACACCACGGGTGGGCAGGCAATCTGGCACAGGACAGGGGTCACTTGCCTAATAAACACAACTTCACTTATGTATGCTGAACAGTTTGGGACAATAGCAGATTCAAACTGTTCTATTTACACTTGACTATTATTCTAGGATCTTGCTGATGAAAATGTGAGTAGCTCATCTGACATTTTCAAAGTATGAAGGAGTGTTAACAGAGTTGCTTATCTTCATTTATATATTAGTTTACTACCATAGCAACAAGAACAACAACAAACAATCCTAGCATTTCTGCCCACTTCATCTCATAGAACACTTCACTAGTCTCAGTACCACACCTGGGTTTTAGAGACACCTGCTGTAAAACATCTTGCATCCTTTCAGACACAATGAAAATACCCCAACCAGGCCAGGCAAACCTCACACTCAAGTTGCTCTACAACCTGTCCCAAGGCCCCTTTCCAGCCAACATTCTCTGGTGCTTGGTGACTGGCCAGTCACATCTCTGAGGACACCTCCATCTGCTCACTCCTAGTGGCCTGGTGCACCCCATACTTTAGTCCCAGGAACACATGTCTCCAGTGAGACCCAGTACCTCAAAGAGGAAAATGACCTGGCCCTGCAGCCTTGCAGAATTACTTGTTTTCTGGGAAAGCCCAGAAACTCATGAGCATGCTAGGCCCAACTCGTGTCCACTCCAATGGACTCACCACTAGAGAAGAGGCCCTGTACCTACTCTTACTAGAGCCATCTGCTACATCCACTACAGCCAACAACAAGGTCTCCCCAACACACACCAAACTGGTGCATTACTTAGTATTCCAAGAAAATGATAAGCCATACTTACAACCTAAAGCAGTGCACTTCCTAGTCTTTTAAACTAAATTTGGGGCTGGAGGTTTAGCTCAGCGACATAAGCACCTGCCTTGGAAGCAGGCAGTCGTGAGTTCGATCCCCGGTACCAATGAAAAAGGAAAAAAAAAAAAAAAAACATAAACTAAATTTTTAATACAAACTATAAAATGTAAAATAATTTTAAAGTTACAATTGGAATAAAATCATAGTGGTTCAAATAAGAGACCAGAGATTGCCATGCTTCTTTCTATTCTACACTGATTTTCAACTCAACAGGCAAATCTGAAACAAACATTAAGAACATTTTGATCTCTGAATAATTACTCCAAACTACCTCTTAAATTTAACTTAACTCAAAAAGAACTTGTAACATTAACCTAAATACTAAGCCTAAATTCAAGAAAAAAAGACTTTTCAAATAATTCTTCAAACCAAACATGGCGGTACACACCCGTGATCCTAGACTGATGCAGGAGGGTCAAGTTCGAAGCCCGAATAGGCTACACAGTGAGTTTAAGGCCAGCCTGCCACTGTCTCAAAAAGCAAATATATTTAATAATCCTCCAGTCTCACACCAGCACACAATTGTAATCCTAGCTACTCAGAAGGCTGAGCCAGGAGGGTTATGAATTCAAGGCCAGCCTGGGCAACTTGGTTGAGAATCTGTCTCAAAATAACAAAGATCTACAGATGTAGCTCTGTAGCCCTGGGTTCAAACCCCAGTAAAGCCAAAAGATGAAACCAAAAAAACTTCATTCCACTAGTAACATTACCCTAACCTATGTCACCAACCTACAACAAAATCGTTCAAATATGCCTTAAAGAGAGTAGCCTGGGCAGCAGCTCCCAAGCCCAAAGGAGGGCCCCTCTCCTCTGTTCCTACTTATCTCCACCTCACAAACGCTGTATTCTGCTCCCTTGCTAAAAGGTTAATTGATTTTCATGCTCAGTATGTTGGCATATGTAGAATTCAACACCAGTTACTGAAAATAGAAACAGAATTTTTTTAAAAATCCCTAAATCCTCAGAGTAAAAGTTTAATTTCCTTTGTTATGACATTACATTTTCACAGAAAGAGAGAGAACACAAAACAAAAGAAAAACAGAAACACAAACTGCCAGAGTAAAGGGTAGCTGTTAATGGTTCCACACTGGGGTTGGGCATCCACTCCCCATAGACAGGAGGAAGTCACTCAGGAGACTGAGGCAGGAGGATGATAGCGACTGAGGCACCAGCCTAGGTTACACAGTCCAAGGCCAGTCTGAACTACATAGTGAGACCCTGTCTCAAAAATCAACAACAACAAAGTAAGGAAGAAAGAAACTGCTGCTGCTAGTAAGGATTAAGGAGTAAGCCACCTAAGTTATCTAAGCAAAGGTGCTGTGACACAAGGAATTTTTAAAAGCCCAGCTCTTTACCAGCATCTCCAGTAACTGAAAGTAGTTAAAAGAAAAATTCCAGTTTATGAACAAAGGCTGTACTTGCAATGATCTAGAAATCAGCCTCTGAGGAATAATTAGCATTTCCTAGACAGTAAGTTTGTTTTCCAAGCACAGAAAATGGTAACTTTGTCCAACCATAGAACCAAGCTCAATGCTTTTGTAGCATGATTGATATTCCCGAGACTTGGTCAAGCTCCACACAACCTTGTTATAATTTCTAAAGAATCAACTGCCGCTGCCATTCTAAAAAATAGTTATGTTGAAAGGATCCAGCTTTCTCAAAATTTTATGTTTGAGAGCATGGGCTTAAAAACGCTAGAGCTTTTAATCTTTAGGCGATCAAAAACACAGTGGGAAAAAGCAGCTCCTGTGGTCCACACACTGCACTCTGGGAGTATTTGTTGCTGAAAACGTGTCAATACTAGGGGAAGCAGCAGATAGCCACTTCTTCACTGCAAGCAACCAACAATTCCCTCGGGATCCACCTACCTGCTGATTATGAGCAAAATATGCCAACTCCCAGGACGACCAGAGAACCTTGATTACACACAGATGAAGGTCCTGCTTGAGCAGGGAGACCTGTGGGTGTGGGTAAGGTATCCTGGCTGGGGGTCGAGGTCAAACTGGGCAAGGATAGGTTGGGAGGGGGGTGCGTGCCGGTCCATGTCTACCAGTCAGACCGACAAGGCTAGGGTGGGCAAGCAGACTGCTGGGGCATGTGGCCTGGATCCTCTAGTAATGGCTCTGGGTCACGACTGGGATATGCTGGGGGTGGGCTGTGGGTACTGTTTGTGGGTCCAGGATGAGAGTCAGAGACCGGGATCTAGTGGTGATGGAGCATGCGGATGAGGGTCAGAATCTGGTGAAGTCGGTGAGAATGGATGGGGTCGGGAGCTATGGTGGTAGTATGCGCCGATAGGAATCGCAGTCAGGACGCGCTGGTGATTGTGTGGATCAGGGTCGGTGCCTGTGTCGGGATCTGATGGGGGTGGTGGGCGCGGGTCGGGGTCTGTGTTTGGGTCGGGATCTGATGGAGGTTGGCGGGTGCGGGTCAGGGTCAGTGTCCGGGTCGTTATCCAGTGGTGGTGTTGGATGTGGATCAGGGCCGGAGT